ATATTGCAGAATCATCAGTAAGTTTAATTTTATGTTTAATACTATTAGTAAAACTTAAAGGTATTCCTTCGCAATAAAAAATATCTCTATATTGGAAACAAAGCTTTTTTAGTAATTCTTTTTCTTCTTTGTTGCAATGATTTATCCTTATATTTTTTAAATTCCTCTTTAACATGTTATCATCATTAATAGACGTTTCTTCGTCAGTTTCCATCTTTCTTATAAAATTAATATTTACAGTATCTAATGGTTCTATATCAAAGGGTTCAGTAATGGTTAACGTTGTCTTATATTCGCTTATATTCGTAATAGTGGTTATAGCAAAATTATTTTTTACATTAACTACTGCTTTAGGCATTTCGATTCCTTTACCGAAATTCTTATATTCTAATATACCTAATCCTACATTTAATTTTACCGGTATTTTGACTATTTGCTTAGTTCTAGGGGGAATAACTATTGTATGATTTAAAATTGACTTGGGATATAATATATCCTTTTTACTGGATTCAAAAATTATGGGTATCGTTACATAAGGCGTTTTCATTTGTCGCGTGTTAACATTAATTGAAGCTTTTAATTTTTGTAATAAATCTATACCAATTAATCCATCAAAATTTTCGCTAAATTTAAAAACATAAAACTTATTATATTGATTTACTTTAAAAATGTTAAAAGCTGGAATATTAATTATTTCATTGTGCATAGAAATTCCGTGAGCCGTCTGTATATTAAAATTTTCGTAAGAAATAAAATTTTTATAAAATTTATGCGCTAACTGTGGAGATATCAAACTTTTGGAAGACCCTGTATCTAATAAAAATCTAGCATTGAGTTCAGGAATAATAATATGTGGTAAATCTGCTATCGTTGTATTTAAATATATTATGTCGGATTGTAGTTTTCTTGGGCCATGCAAAAATTTCTGTTTTCAACATTTTGTGTGGGATTGTGATATGATCTTTCTTTTGTTTCATTTGGATTACGATAAGGACTGGATTGAGTTTCATAAATGTTCTCGTAAGGAAGTTCATTAGCTCCTTGAGTTGGGTGTACGTAATCAGTGGGAATATTATTTTCAAAGGGGTTTTCGAATTGTATTTGATCGTTATTAATTTGTTGATTAAATAATTGCGTGGAGGTAAAATGTGGTCTAGATCTTAAAGAAGTATTTCGTGAAGTTGTATCCATCGGTTCTGGCTGGTATTGATTTTGATTTTGGGATTGATTATTAACATTTCTTTGTTGAAAATTAGGATTATTATTATGGAAGTTCCTTGGTCGGAAATTAGAATTATTATTGTCGAAATTCCTTGGATTAAAGTTAGAATTACAATTATTGAAATTTCGGAATTGATTTTGATGTGGCTGAAAGGTATTGTTGGGATTAAAATTATTATTTAGGTATTGCGGTCTGATGTTTTGATATTGGTAAGGTGGAAATCTCATATTAGGGCGATTTTGTTGTAAATTATTTCTAGGAATAAAAGTTCGATTAGAATTATTGTTTCTCGTAGGATTATGTCTCGATGAGGGTCTAAAAGAATTTTGTGAGTTTAAATTATTTCCGCGTTGTAACGAATATAGAAAATTCTCTTCTTCGATAACGAAGCTCATAGCTTTCTCTAAACTGTCTGGGTTTTCTTAATCTTATATTTGTTTGTAACGATAAGGGTAAGCCTCTAATGTAAGTCTTTAAACATAAGTCATCGTAACTGTTTATTCTAATTAATTTCTCTTGTGCATTAATATTAAGCGTATTTAATTTTTGTGTTACTAAACTACGTGTTTCTTGGCATCGCATGCCAAAATTATAAGGGGTTTCATTTTTGAAAGGCCTCAACGTTATTAGGTCTTGAATAAGGCAATCGAGATCTCTCTGGTCTCCAAAACTAAGATTAAGGGCATCTTTTACGAGTTGCCATGTATTTAATTCTGTCCTAGAACCTATGAACATTTGAGCTCTTCCATTTAATTTACCTAATATAGCTCGAAGTAAAAATGTATTCAAGGTGCCGTCTGTTTGACTAGCAAAATTAGTTATTAAATTTTCACAATTTTCTATAAATATGGTTAAGGTATGTGGATTACCATCGTATGTTGGGATGGAATCTAAGTAAAGTTTTAATAATTGGTAGTTCGTTTGAGCCATTTCGTTATTTGTATCAGTATTTGTTTCTAAAATTGAATTTAATTCTGCTACAAGGCTACTTAAATCTAATTCGCTATCAGTTTCGCTCATTAAATATTTATTCAGATAATATATCAAATTGTAATAAAATATAAAAAATGTTTCAATATAGAACGTTCAACTTCAATATACTAAGATATTGTCAAAAAAATATAATAATATAATATAATAATAATAATCTTTTTCTTATTAAAAATATCTTGCAAAATCATAAAACATTTAAAAAAAATTGTTTGCTCTAGTTAGCTCTCTGACTATAAGTATTTTCAAATATGGAAATAATAAAATGGAAAATAAAATGGAAAAATAGGAAACACTTACATTAAAATGTAGATTTTCAACATTGCTGCCTATAGGATTCGACGATTTTGTTCTTCTCCCAGGTCTCGTTGAAACTACTGCTTAAAATCTACTGCCTCTAGGGTTCGACGATTTTTGTTCTTTCCCCAGGTCTTGGTGATACCTTGTCTAAAGTTGATCTTGGACACTTTCACAAAAAGTTCGTTTTTTTCGGTGAATCGTTTAAAACGAAAAACTACGCGAAACCGTTCGATTTTTGTAACGTTTAGCGTAATTCCCGAAAATCTGTACTGACTGCGCCAATGATGTTTCTAAGTCCAAGAACAATATTTTTAAAAAATAACTTTATTGACAAGGGACTACTTACTACAGTAAAATGCAAAATAAGAGTGACGCTATACAATGCAAAAATAAATTAAGTAAGCTCGGTGACGCCGAGGTGTAGCGTGCTGACGCTGTCCTTTTATTATAGTTGAATTAGCAGTTCTGGTTTCTTAACTTTAATATATATATATTATATATATATATATATATATATATATATATATATATATATATATATATATATATATATATAACCTAGAGCTAAGATTAATATTATTACTAAAATTAATATCAAACTCATTAGTCTTCCGGGTTGAACCGCGTCGATATTCTATCTTCCTTCGATTAGCTTTCGGCATCCTCTCTGATGCCTTCCTCAGGGCTTCCGAGGTCTCAGTCTCCCGAGCCCCCAGACACTACTACACTGTTCACTTTTAACTACACTATCACTACACTGTAGTGAAAAGTGAACAGTTTAGTAGTGTCTGGGGGCTCGGGAGACTGAGACCTGGGAAGCCCTGAGGAAGGCATCAGAGAGGATGCCGAAAGCTCGGCAAAATGAATATCGACGCGGTTCAACCCGGAAGACTGGTGAGTTTAATATTAATTTTAGTAATAATATTAATCTTAGCTCTAGGTTTTATTGTACTAACCGCGAAAATCTTTCCGAATATATATATATATATATATATATATATATATATATATATATATATATATATATATATATTATATTTCTCCTGAATCAAAATCTGAAAACGGCATTTTGATATCTCGAACCATCTTCGACATAACTGGCATCAAAGTCAAAAATAGTGGCATCACAATCCTTCTACATATACATTCGTTTCTGCTGACACAAATAAATATTAAATCGGAATCAGAAACGTCGACTAAATAAATTTTATTTATTAATGTTAATGTAATGTAAAATGTATAAGTCTATTATATATAAGAGGTCTTTTTTGTATCAATAATGATAATTAATTACTATTTATAACTGGGAATAAGCCACAATTAAAGATAAAAATACGTTTATTGACGTTTCAATTTCCAATTCGGAAATCGTTCTCAAAATACAAACAGTAAATTAAACAAATTTTGTTTTTTAAAAAATTTTAATGTGTTTAATTTACTGTTTGTATTTTGAGAACGATTTCCGAATTGGAAATTGAAACGTCAATAAACGTATTTTTATCTTTAATTGTGGCTTATTCCCAGTTATAAATAGTAATTAATTTACAATGCCACAAGAAAATAGCTTCAGAACAATAATAATGATAATATTATTACTTATTTCCAAATAGTGGTCTTAAATGACAGTTTTCAAAAACTAATATTTAAGTATACTTCTTTGGAAGATTAATCATTGATTACTATTATTTTAACAGTAATCCTAAAAATTATAAATTAATTTATTTCAAATTTAGATCTTATAGACTGTTAGAATCTTAATACAACCCTGTACGATTATATAAACATCAGGTTTTACGTGTTCTGTGTATGTATTTGTTGAAGGCTACTTTTCTGTTAAATGAATTTAGTATAGTTACAGAGTATAGATAAAAACAAAAATTTATGTTTTAGATACGTTATGATATTATTAGTTAGTAAATGGTTTAAAAATGTAATTTGTCGGATAAAGTCACGGAAAACTGTGAAACTAAATAATACAATGGTTTGAAAAAATTTACAAATTCTAAATCACAGAAGAAACCTACATAACAATATATACAATAATTCACTTTATACAAAATTAAATTTTATACGACGACCGACGACGTTGTGGAATGGACTTTACCAAAGGAACTTGATTGAAGGAAGCACGCGACTTTTCTGGAGTAACGTTTACAAAGAAGCGTTATCAACTACAACATAATTTTTTAAATATTGCTTTTCATTATATATATATATATATATATATATATATATATATATATATATATATATATATATCTTTAGAAATATTTTATATTTCTAAAGATTTGTTGAAATCTTTTTTTTCCTCTCCTTAAGGAAAAGCTGTAATATCAAATCTTTTTGTTAACGCTTAATTTCAACTATTCATACCGTCCTCGAACAGGCTTTAGAGCTAGTAAACTATAAAAGACAATAAAATAAATCATAAAGAAAACCCCATATTTTCATTTTATAATTTAATATGGATCATGTGATAATAACTTACCTTGTTGAACAGAAGACGGATCGAAAAGAGACATTTGTCCCTCACTAATAACATAAAGTCCCAACTTATTTTTATCTCCTTTTATAGGCGCCCACTGGATAGTGTGAATCTGCGATTTAAAATATTGCTTTGCAAGACACGTTTGTTTGGATATATTTGTAGGATCAATATAACCGACCTAAAAAGAAAATAGTTATATTAAATGTTTTTTACATGATACGTTTTAATAAAAGATGTTTCTTTTTAAATAGATGTCTCCATAATAGCAAAATCCTTAAAGACTAGAATGAGCGTCTAGTAGTACTCTTTCTTATACAAAAAAGGAGACAAATGAGGCCTAAAGAATTATAGACCTATATCGTTGCTCAGTTAAGTATACAAATTGTTTATGAGAATTATTAACAATCGGTTGACTTATAAAATGGATAATTACCAACTTGTTGAACTGGCTGGCTTTCGCAAAGGATATATTATATCAGATATATTACATCAGTGACAATGAGAACACTTATAGAGAAGACAAATGAGTGCCAACTACCCGTATTTATGAAAAGGCATTTGATACTATCGAGATGTGGGCTATAGAACAAGCCATTAATAATTATTGTAGAATAGATTCGAGATATAGGCAACTAATACATAATATATATGAAAACGCGACTATGATAGTACAACTAAACGAAAACACAAATCCCATCCCCATTGAGAGAGGAGTTGAACAAGGCGACGTGATATCTCCAAAGCTTTTTAATCTAGCCCTAGAAGACGTCTTCAAAACTACAAATTAGTCAACATATGTCATCAACGTTAATGGCAACAAGTAAAACCCACTCAGATTCGCTGACGACATCGTGCTAATAGCGAGCACATTCGAGGAATGACAAACTATGGTGAAGGAACTCATCATCTTTAGATGAGTCCATGATGTCGTGGCGAGAAAGACTGTCTTTTCGCCAATATTTAAAAGGTAAACGACACAAGTTCGGCATTAAATTGTACATATTAGCTGAATAAGATGGTATGGTGTAACGATCCAATGTATACAGTGGTGCTCAAGGTGAAACTGGTAGCACAGGTCATACTGAAAAAGTAATATTGTCACTGATAAAAGGTTTCGAGAACAAAGGACGTTCTTTATATATGGACAATTTTTATAATAGCTCTTATGCCGGAAATTACTTAAACAAAAAACTTATGTTACCGGTACTCTCCGAAGAGGTAGAGAACAAAATCCGAAAGTCGTTATTGACGCAAAAAGTAAGAAAGGCGAAATAATTACCAAATATATTAAGGGGATTGCAGTTAGTAAATGCCGAGACAAGAGAGAGAGGTTTTATTTCTGTCAACGGAGTTTGAGGAAGAAATAATAGAGACAAAACATGTCCGGCATTGATCGACAGGATCAAATGCTATTCAAGTGAGACAAATACTTTGAGATGGCATAAGATGCTCGGAATGCATTTTTTGTCGGTTATGTTTTTCAACAGTTTTCTTTTATTCAGAAGAGCTTCAACAGTAAAACTTACATATATGATTACCTTTTGGAACTTATTTGGAACTTTGACGTTGTTATCGCAAAAATCTTTACCACCTACACGCAAGTTGGACACTACGCATTTACCTAGTAAGTTGAACGGAACGCATAACAGAAGATGTAGGGAATACAGCAAACAAAATATTCTAACGTGTGCTATTGTTCTTCATTCGAAGGAGAACCAGAGGTTTGTTTACAAAATTGCTTCGCACGATAGCACAAAATGCTGTTTGTTCTTTTTGTGTGAAATATATATATATATATATATATATATATATATATATATATATATATATATATATATACAAACAACACAGTTTATTAGGGTTGCAGTCAGAATATTGGCCGGGATGTTAAAAAACACTCTTTTGACTTTTTGTCGAGCTTTCGAAATGGTTTTATTTCCTTTTTTAAGACACTGTAAAAGACAATTATGTAAATATTTAAAAAATATCACAATTCTTCAGTGTAACTTACTAGTCGTTGAGATTATTTTTGTAAGCCTTGATACTCAACATTTATACCACACATTAAAATATACAATTATGGACATAATACATCACAAAATTTTTAAAACTTGTTGTAAAAATAGTAAAACTTGATTGATGGCATGTTTTACTGGTGTATATTAACTCATACAGACAATGGAAAGAAAAAACAGTGTAATTAATATGTAACTAGGTGTAATTGATGTTATCTTTCTTTACAAGAAATACTAGAGGCCCTTCTTAGGTGACTATACTTTTTAAACCTGTCTTAATAGTATGCAAAATTTAATTTTCTACTTATATTCCAAGAGTCACTGTTCAGGCCAGAATGAGAGATTCAGTTTATCGAGAGGAGAAGAGGCTAGCATAATTTGAACGATACGTGCATTTGAAGGAGATCATTAAAGACGATAGGCAACAATTTGTTGTAAGATAGCTGATTACCTAGGGGACTGCTAAGAATAGATAGTGTAGGCTACAAGGAACAAGGATTGGGACAACTCATCATCAGAGAGATAGTTTTACTATTCATCAGTTATTGAAGCACGAGTATAACCCTGAGATAAGAGAATTAAATAGTGTGATAGAATCATAATTGCATCATTTCAAATTTAATTAGTTAATTAATTAATTAATTAATTAGCTAATTAATTGTTTGGCGCACCTCAGTTTTAATATCACATTAACTGGCTTGCAAAACGTGGGGCTTGAAAATATCGCAGCTGTACATTTGATGGTAGGGAAAGAGATCCGGAATAAGTACAGGTCATCCAAAGATAAAAAAAATAACATTGAGGGAATTTGAAAGTATTTTGACAATTTTTCCAGTGGATAAAAATTTGATTTATTGATTGATCGTAGTTAGTTGTTATTTACTGCCATTGAATTATTTGATTTTTATTTTTTTTACCAATCGTACATTTGATATTTATTTTGAATTATTTGAATTTTACTGATCGCATATTTGATATTTGTCGTGAAAATTTATTAAATTTGGGGAGAAATATTTGTCGAGTTCTGCAACATATAGAGTGTTGTAAAATTTCACATTTGGGGGGGGGGGGACAAAAACAGTAACGAAACGAGAAACAACATGTCTCATGTAAAATGCAAGAAAGGAAGGAGGATAACAGAGAAGAGGAAACAATTGTTGAAGAAGGATCGGATAATGAAGGAAATGATACAATAATGGAGGAAAGAAAAGAAACAGGGATGTTAGAAAACTTATTAGCAATGACGCAAATACAGACACAAACAATAGAGAAAAAACAAAAAGAAACATCAATGGATATTGATGGATAGAAATGGATAGAAATCAACAAGAAACAAAACAAATAATGGAAGAAAACCAACGGGAAACAAGACAAGCAATAGAACTAAATAACAGGAATATAGAGAAGCGTTTGGAAAACTATGAACAGAAATTAGAAGAAAATGATAGGAAAATGGAAAAGCGTTTGGACAAATATGAAAATGAAGTAAGTCTGTTTAGAAAAAGTTCATCGAGCAAAAAGACAAAAGAGGCAATCTAATCATTATAAAAAGGAGACCAAAAAAGTGGCCTCTGATGGCGTACATATCCGGAAATACAAAGGCGCTAAATTTAAAATTTCCGACACTTATTAACAATAGCTATAAAATATTTTTCAGACGAGAAAGTTTTAATTAGGTATTAGTCTAAAATGTGACACAATTGATAAAAAACTTCAATATAAATAAAATTGCATGTGACAGTTAGGACAAACAATACCATAACCAAACTAAATTTGATTTCTTAAACAAGGAAAGAGACTGTCTTTCCTTGTCTAAAGTGGCCTCTCAAGATAGCACTTCCCGTCTAACAATATTTTTGTCCCCACTACCTTTGCATTCCCTCTTTTGTCTTTTTGCTCGATGAAAAAGTTAGAGAAGAAACAGTGAGGAAACTAGAGATGCAAAGAGAAGAAATAGAAACTAAAATGAAGAATTAAGGCGGTCCAGAAAAAGGAATTAGAACAGTTAGAAGAAAAATTTGAAATAGCTTTACAAGAAGACAGGAAAGAAGTGGAAAGGAAACTTAAGCAAAATGAAAAAAAAAAAAAAATTGCAGAAATTGAACTAAGAGGAGTAGAGAGAAAAGAAGTTATCGTCCATGGAACAAGCGAGGCGAAAATACAATTTGGTGGGGATATTAGAAAAACGCACCCAGCACCGTTTATTAAAAATTTGAAAACAAAATTGCAACATGTTAGATATTTTGACGATTGCAAAGAAACAATTAGAAACCATCTAAAAGAAGAAGCAGTGTTATGGTACCTATGAAAGCAAAGATGATTATGAAAATTGGACAGATTTCGAAAATAAATTTCTTAACTATTTCTGGGGGAAAAATAAACAGAATCAATTCTATAGCTCTTGGAAATCAACCAAGAGCTACAGAATGGAAAATATCACGAGAAAATGGGAATATCTGAAGAAAGATATGCTTTGCAGATATATAACAATTCAAAATATCTAGACTACAGATAATCTACCGAACAATTGGTAGAAATGATAAGCAGACATTTCGAAGAAACGTTGGAGAATCACGTGATTTTGAGAAACTATCAAGATATTGATAGTTTGTGCCAATTCCTTTAATTAAAAGAAGCGAAAAGAAGAGAAATGAGAAACAGAAGACAACATGACCAATATAATGGACCGAAAAGAAGGTATCAATCTAATTATGATCAGAGAAATCGACATCCCCGATCATCAAATGAATATTTGCCAAGAGAATACCACAATTACAATAGACAACAAAATTACAATAACAGGAATGACACACAAAATAAAACATAAAAAATCACAACAGTAACAGAGCTGCTCAAAATCCTCCGAATAGGAATACAAACCAACAAAGGGACGATAGAAATAATCAGAGTTTCCAACGACAAATTAGAAGGGAGATGAATCATTAGCAATAGAAAACGAAAGACAAAATTCTAATTCCAATATTTTTAAATATATTCCTATATGTTTAACTGCAGTTATAAAACATAAAGCGATTAAAATTGTGATTGATTCTGGATCGGAGATATCGTTAATCAATAAAAAACTTGTAAAAGAATTAAATTTGGACAGATTTGTGTATAAGATTCCTAGCGTTGCTTTAGTAGGTGCAAACAATAAAAAATTGACGACAGTAAACGAAGGTTTGGAAGTACGGATCAGAGTGGGAGACAAATTCTATATTATGCAATGTGTGGTGATCGAAGATTTAAATCATGATATGATAGCGGGAATTGATGAATTGAGGAAAAAACATATCACCATTAATTGTTCGGAAAACAAACTGGAGATCAGAGCAGAACCAGACAACACCGAAGAAGAAAAGGAAACAGATGGGAAAAAAAATTTCTGAAAGGATAAATGAACAGGAAAAACATAAAGAAATCAATATGACTGTAGAGGATAAACCGAAAGTACAAGAAAAAAATCAATCAGAAGAGAAAAAGAGGGGAAAAAAGGGGGAAGAAAAAGAAGAAGAGTTCGAAAAGAAATGAGGAAAACAAGGTGGAGACAAGGACGATAAAACAGAAAGGAAGCAGGAAGAAAAGGAAGTTATCATCAGAGAAATGAAAGGAGTAGAAACGTGGTGCTCGGAATACCAAATGGAATTTGAGGATAGAGAAAAAAACAGAAGAAGAAATAAAAGATAGGTGAAGTGAAGTGCGTATGTAGAATCTGTTTTTCTATTATTAAAAGCCCTTTTATGTTCTGCTATTAGTTTATTAAAGTTTCTACCAGTTTGACCGATGTAAGTTTTTGGACAGTCGCCACATTTAAGTTTGTACACACCACTGTGTAAGTGTTTTTTATTTTGGCTCTTGTTGTTTTTGATATATTTGCCTAGGTTGTTATTTGTTCGAAAAGCTGGTGTTATTCCTTTCTTTTTTATGTGTTTGGCTATTTTAGTTGATATTTTGCCTGTATGTAATCGAGCAGAAGGTATTGGGTTTTTTTCTGCTAGTGGTAGAAACTTTAATAAACGAATAGCAGAACATAAAAGGGCTTTCAATAATAGAAAAACAGATTCTACATACGCACTTCACCTTCTAGATCACAATCATTCTTTTAATGACGAGTTTAAAATTCTTCACATTCAAAATAAAGGCCTTAAGCTATCCTTGTTAGAATCTATGGAAATTAACAAATTAAAAAACACAGATATAATTCTGAATGACCAACTTGAGACAAACAGTTCTCCCCTCCTCAACCTATTCCATTAGAGACTATAAAATGTAAACGCATGCCAAAAATAGATCACTTGAGAAAGGCAATCAGCCGAAACAGCTGTAGTGATAAGTTAAAATAAACTTTGTGGAAGTTTGAAAACAAAGTTTTCAGTGTTTTATTGTTACATAAAACGAATTTCCATCAAGTTACGGTCGAACCCATCAATTATTACAAAGAATTGTATTTATAAAATACCTTATTAATGCGATCCGTTTTATCTAGGTGAAACATCAAGGTCATTAAATGTTAGACTAAGTGAACATCAATCCTATATTAAAAATAGAGAATTTGATAGATCTAAAATATGTAAACACGCATGGGAAAATGAACGTAGGGTTCAATGGAATGATTCAAGTATCATTCTAAAAGAAACAGACGGTAAAAAAAAGAAAAATCAAAGAAGCGGTTCCAGCTTATGCTAAATGAGACAAATTGTTTTGCAAATTTCTCGGCAGAATGCAGTAGGATCTGGTTACCTACATTAAAAAAAGAAGTTAATAAAAGGAAAATAACACTATTAGTAAGTCACTAACATATCGAGGATACATCATGTATGTTTTTCAAATAACATACTTGGTGAATTTGGTATTTATTGAGAGTAAAATAAATGTAAGACCAAATACTTGCCATGTCGGGATAGTATTATGAGGTTTTTTTCCTCATGATTTAGTATGGAATCACTAGTAGAAGAATTTTACTATCATCGTGGCATGTAATTTGCATGTGATTCGTCTTTTCAAAGACGAATCACATGCTATGATATTTTCTGACGGATATTCTCAAGTTAAAGTTAATTTCATGTAATCGAATGAACTATCTTACAATAAAGTCGTCCTAGGAACACAACTCAGCAATATTCGTCTATAAAGTCGTCTACTTTAAAATGTATAATATATGTCTGAATAAATTGTCAATATAAATGAGGATAAAATTAAATTATTAGAATTTTTTACCAAGTAACAAAAAACAAAATTTGTTTAATTTATTAATGTTTGTATTTTGAGAACGATTTCCGAAGTGGAAATTGAAACGCCAATAAACTTATTTTAAACCTCAAGTGTGGCTTATTCCCATTAAAATAGTAATTACTTTAAGATGTCACAAGAAAACAGCTTCAGAACAATATTAAGAATAACAAAGCGCCTGGTACACACGGGATAACTGCAGAACTCAGAACTTTTAAATGAAAATATCACTAATTATACACCGTCGACTGAAGCTGTTTTCAGAGAAAAATCAGGTGAACAATGTGATTTCAGACCAAAACCATCAATAATAAGCCAAATACATAGGTTTGAAACATAAACGGAGATCTGATAGAGGCATTTAATATTGAAACTGGAGTTAGGCAAGGTGATGCCTTATCAACACTACTTTTTAATTTAACTTTGGAAGCCTTAATTAGAAAATAAGATATCACCAGCTGTATTAATAAAACTAGTATGTGCGGTTGATATTGCCATAATAAGCTATGATCCTGAGCGAGAAAGGTATAGGCCTGAAATGAGAAGCCGCTATTAACAAAAAGAAAAACAAAAGAGTACGCAACATCTGATTGGCTCGCGAAAAAATTAGAAAGAATGGCGAATAATCGAGATACAAATGCAATCCAGAGATGGAAACACCTCTAAAAAAGAACAAGAAAAAGACCCGTAAAAGATGGATGGACGATATAGACGGGGACCGTTAAAGCTATGAACATCAAACAGTGAAGAAGTAAAGTAGCAGATAAGGCACAATGGAAAATATTGTTAAGCAACCCAAAACGCCCAAACAAAAAAGTAAAGAATGTCAATGGATTAAAAATGTCAGCGTGAACTGGTAAAAATTCGTTTGGGTAATTTCTATATTTTGCTTTACTATCACTTCACGTCTGGCTTTATTTTAATAGCAGTATCTGATTCATATATATCCTTCTTAGTAGCCTGATCTATCTTAATTATAAAGTTACCGACGAAAGGGTGCAAATATATACAATATTTTCTGATATAAAAGTGATATTTCTTACCCTTCCTTCCAAGGTTCCAAAAGCTAATATAGATTCGTTGGTAGGATGCCACGCTAGTGCCGTTATCTTGCTTTGGATTCGTTGGTAGTACGAGGCCATGCATAAATTCGTAGTGTGAGGTCGACTCAAATCCAAAATTTTAATATATCCGTCTGCAGTGCCAATACCTAATCTAAAATGGTATAAATTATGCCATTATTAATTAGAAACAAAAATATCTTATTATATTATTCTCTAATACTTTTAATACCCTATATTGTTACGTAAAGATTAATCTACAAATATTTTTGACTAAAAAATATTTATAAATATTTGAAAAAATTATTCTTATTTTAAACACATAATTGTAGAAACAAAATATGAGTATTAAGAAAATAAATTATTTAATCTATGGACTTTAATCGGAAAACCGAAAATAAAACCAAAATAAATGAGTAGGTATTCTGTCTTACATTTTAAAGTATCATCATCTCATTTAAACTAAAAAATCTGGGAATCTATGTATATAAAAGGCTTGACGACAAGTCACACTGTTTGTCCGGTAGGGTAACTACGCCACCTAGAAAATAAATCGGACTACTAACCGACATGAATAACTTATAACAGCGCTACAGGCTTTTAAAAACTTGGTTATTTCCCTCCCTTTTTTTCGGTCCCTTGGGCTCGTATTTTGCCGTAATTACTGGTTTCCCATACATCCTCATTATTATATTCCTCATATTTATATTCGCTCGTCTTCTCCAAATATTCTCTGTCCCTTCATTCCTCCGAAGATTTTTCTGAGCACCTTTCTTTCCCAGATCTTTATTATCTTTTATTATCTTTTATTATTAACTGCTGGTTCATAATCCACGTTTCACTGGCATATATCATTGTGGGTCCGATTACTGTCTCGTAGACTCACAGTTTAGCTGTTCTTGGCATATTTTTTTGCTTTCAGTAATGAATTTAATGACCCTATCGCTATGCTTCCCTTCATTTTGTCTATCACTTTTTCTCCTTTTCCCGTTTTTGTCATGGTTACTCCTAAGTATTCAACTTCTGACACTTTTTCAAAACTATAGACAGTCTCTACTCCTTTCAGTTTCATATATTGCGTTTTTGTTTGGTTTATTATTAATCCGTATCTTTTCGCTTCTTCTTCAAATTTACAGAAAACTTTTTCTAATTCTTTTTTGTTCTAGCTAGTATCACCACATCATCCGCATACGCTGTGCACTGTTCCCTGCTATTGAAAATAGTCCTGTTTGTGCTTATAATGGATCTCCTTACGATTTGTTCTAATACTAGGTCGAATAAATCCGTTGATAGTGGATCCCCTTGTTTTAAACCTCTATTCATTGTTTGAAAAGTGTCTTGAAAAGCTTTCATCCATTGATAAAAAATCCATCATCCAAATCGATAAATAGCATATGCGATCCTAAGTTTTGTCCGTAGCTATTATTTTGTTCTAATTTTAACATACTTATTTGATCAGTAGTTGTTCTTCCCGATCTAAAACCTCCCTGGTATTCTCCAATCACTTTGTTATCACATTTTATTAATCTTTTCCTAATAATTTTTGCAAGTATTTTATATACTACTTCTAATAGTGCTATACCTCTATAGTTTTCGCACTCCGCTTTGTCTCCTTTTTTATAGATAGGACAAATAAGAGTACTATTCCATTGTTTCAGCATTTTTTCCTATTGCCAAATTATTAGTGTCAAGTGAAATATCCTTTCCTTCAATCGCCACCTTTCTTAAAAATCTCAGCGGGATACCACTTTCTCCTGCACTTTTGTTATTTTTTAGGTCTCTTATTATTTCTTTCACTTCATTCAGAGTTTATTTCTCGCACGTCCTTTCTTCATCTTCTTGCCAATTCTCATTTCCCTCAAGTTTGTTGGTCTGTATTTATTAGATCTTTCGACTATCTGTTTAATTTTTCTGTTGTTTCACCTACAAGTAAGCTTTCTTTGTTTCTGCGATACTGTGAATTATTCTTTGTAGTTTCTGTGGATTTCTTAACTTCTTGGTAGAAATTATTTACCTCTTTGTGTATGTATGTCTGTATGTCTTTCTCTTTTTTCTGCAAATTCTTTTCACTTCCCTTCTTCTTGCCACACAGTTTTCGGATAAGAAGTTATATGGAAGATAAATTGTGTTTATTGTAGTCTGTTATGTTGTAGGTTCTCGCGAAATCAAAAATATAACCTATATATTGTTGTTTATTGTAGGTAAGAGATATGAATCCGGTATAAGATTTTAATAAAATCGAAGAGTATGATGTTTATTACTTATAAACTTAGTGTTGGAATATAATATTTGAGGCAGAATCGACCATTTTCATTTTTAGAATGATTAGACTTTTTTAAAGAAGTTTAGATTAAGGAAACCGACAGTGATGTATATTCTGAGAATATATTGTAAATAGTTGTTAATAAAAAATTATAAAAGTAGGTATTCTTGATAATTAAAAATAAGTTTAAGTGGAGATAATAGAAACTGGTTGTTACTTGAAGATTCTGATTATACAGTGAAGCCATTTTTAAGGAGTTGTCTAACAATCCGCCAAGAAAATTTCTATAATGAATTCCATATTAAAACCAGATATGTAACAGAACTTTTTATGTATGGAAGAGAAGGTACTATTTTATCCAAGTGAAGTGGCTGTAAAGTTAAAAAAATTCAATTAATCTAATCTACAGCAACATCAGAAGAATCATTAATAGGCATATATCATTTTTTATTCGTTATTAAATTTTACTTTACCTAATTTAATTTATTACTGTCACCACAAATTGTATAATCAAAAGAAATATTAAAATATTAGTGTGATTTCTTTGACAATTAATTAAATATTGGTTTGTTCCGAAATAATTTATAGATGTACAATATATTCTCTCTCTCTCTCTCTCTCTCTCTCTCTCTCTCTCTCTATCTCTCTCTCTCTCTCTCTCTCTCTCTCTCTCTATCTCTCTCTCTATCTCTCTCTCTCTCTCTCTCTCTCTCTCTCTCTCTCTCTCTCTCTCTCCTATCGCATTTAAAAGATAAGAAGCATTGTTAAACAGTAAACAGAGTATTCAAAAAGTTGCGTTTCTAATGTAAGACTAAAAATATAAACTTACCTGTGTGGATCTACTGGTGATGCTTTAATGTAACTCACACATCCTCCAATAGTTGAATAGCGCGAAATAATAGTTTTATTTGTGATGTTGGTATTAATAAGAACACGGTCTTGTGCTGTAGTCCAAACGTTTGTTGCCATTGGCCCATCTTTCCAGTTATATTCGTTAAGGAATAATGGAGTAGTGACCATTGAAAATACTAACGATGAATGCTCTTTGTGAATAACGGTCATAAGTTTTGATTCACTAAAACAAAGTAACACAGATATTAGCTCATTGTTTGATTTATAAGTTCCAAGGTACCTACTCATTTAAAATATATTTTATAACTTTATTAGTTTGAATAAATTTGAATGCTTTATTTTGACGTTTCTGTTTCCAAATGGAAACGCCTTTCGCGAAAGTAAAACACTTAAACTCTTAAATTGTGATTCAGTTGTCGATTAACATTCATCGAGTGTACATCGAGGGCAATTAGGAAGTGTAAATTATCAGTACCAGTTTTTAGTTAATATTTGTAGTTGGGTCTATTGAACTAATAGGTTTGTGTGTGTGTGGTTAATAAGAGATGGAAATTGATGACGATCGGAATATCCCACCAGATAGGGGAAGGAAAGAAAGTCAGTATCAAAATATAAATCTAAATAATAAATATCAAAACGGCAGTAACAAGGTAAGCGAAATATCTATTGAAAATATTGAAAAGAATTATTATTCACTTGGAGATCAGGGACCGTACTATGTTTTCGTAGAAAATAAATCAGGGAATATAGGTAAACTGCATAGAATAGGAGCTGCAAGGTTAATATTAAATGCTGAAAATGAAATTAAACATAATATTGTTAATATTTCCATAATTATTGGTAGAAATAAATTGAAAGTAGAATGTAATACATTTTTGGCCGCAAATAAATTAGCTGAATCTAAAACACTATCGGATAAAAACTATGATGCTTATATACCTACTTTTTACACACAAAAACGAGGTGTTGTTAGACATGTAGATACTGATATTTCTGAAATTGAATTAAAAGGTTTAATTAAAGGTAAATTTGGTCAGGTTGTTACAGTTACACAGGTTAAGCGAATGTTTAGAAAATCTGAGGATAAATTAATTCCTACGGGGACTGTTATTGTCTCTTTTAAGGGACAAACAATTCCTAGTCAAGTAGTAATAGAAAAAATTGTTTATGATGTCGAAACATATATTCCTAAAATAATACAATGTTTAAAATGCTTGCGTTATGGACATATAGCTAAGCAGTGTCGTGGTAAGGAAAGATGTAAATTTTGCGGTAATGAACATATTAGTGATACTTGCGAGAAACAAAACAACCCTTCGTGTATTTTTTGTACAGGCAATCATTCTGCTACAGATAAATTTAAATGTCCAGAATTTTCCGAACAAAAATCAATTAAACGTTTAATGGCAACAGAAAACATAAGTTATGTGGAAGCCCTTAATAGACATAAATCAAGCTATGCATCAGCTACTAAATCTCCCACAGAGGGATCTAAATATACAGTCAATATAAAAAGAAAAAGAATCGCAACAAGTCCATTACCACCAGATCCTATAACCCAAGAGCATAGAAACATAATAACCCTTCCAACTATCCCCTCTAGACCCGTATATGAAAGTTTTAGAAATATTCCACAATATCACAAGGTACCATTTAGTCAGCCGAGTACTTCTTCTTTTACTCACTTTGATGCTGCATGTATTCAGAGCAACACAATAATGGAATCAATTATAAAAGTTATAAAAGAGTATATACCAACAGATAATAAGCAAATGTTAAATTCAATTAAAACGAATATTTTACCAATTCTTAATAACATTCAACAATAAATTCAATATTCTTCAGTATAATATAAGATCATTAATACACAATAAAGGATTACTAGAAAAATGTTTGTATGATAATAATATTCATTTGAGTATTTTAAGTGAAACTTGGTTAAAGAAACATTTGAAACCAAATTTTAATGGGTATCATTTGTTTCGTTTAGATAGAGAAGATGGATATGGTGGTGTAGGTATTCTTCTGAAAAAAAATATTGCTTTTAACAATACAAAGAGTTTTAAGAGTATTGAAGGTTTAATGACTGTCTCTCTAGCTGTTAAAGTAAGTAACTTATTTACAATAAATATTTATTCGATATATGCAAAACCGAAATTAAACATATCTGAAAGAAGTTGGTCATTGTTTCTTGAAAGCCTGGAAAAACCTTTTTTGTTAGTGGGTGACTTTAATTGTCACCACCAAGTGTGGGGTTGTGATATTACTGATAGAGCAGGAATTAATTTACTTTCAGCAATTGAAAATACCAATCTAGTTTTTCTTAACAATGGCGCGGAAACGCTCATTCCTTCATTAAATCAAAAGAATAAATCGGCAATAGACCTGTCTATTGTATCGCCTGATTTGGTTACATTATGCAATTGGCAAACAAAAATAAATACTTTAGGATCTAATCATTTTCCCATATTAATAGAAATCAAAAGTAATAATTATATTATTAAAACAAATCAAAACAGATGGAATTTAAACAAAGCAAATTGGTCACTTTTTTCTGAAAATATTGAACACAGTAATAATCATAATAATATAAACCGATATGATAAATTTATAGCAGAATTAAACAAAGCAGCAGAAAATTCAATACCCAAAAAGAAAAAAGTGATCAACTCGAAATTTAATAAACATTGGTGGAATGAAGAATGTGATATATTAATGAAAAATCAAAAAGATGCTCTTTTGCGTTTTAAACAAAACTCAAATGCAGAAAATTATATTTGTCTACAAAGAACAATGGCTTTGTGTAAAAAACTAATAAAAAAGCGCAAAAAAGAATCTTGGAGAAATTTTTGTACTTCAATAAATAAAAATACACCGATCTCACAAATATGGACAGAGGTTAGAAAATTAAAAAATAATTGTAAAGAACCAGTCAGTAAGGTAGTAGCAGGAGAATGGACAAAAACCTTTATAAACCAAGTCACGCCACCATGGGTTGAAGAAGAAGAAGCAGTTTACCCTCCTCAAGTAGAAAATATCAATAAAATTGCAATGGACAGTCTGTTAAAGAAATTTAGTCTCAAAGAATTCCAGAGCAGTATTAAAAAGCACAAAAATACGGCTCCTGGTATCGACAACATTCATTATATAATGTTATACAACCTTCCATTATCATGCAAAATTACTTTGTTAGAAATAATAAATAATATATGGGAAACCTCGCAGTATCCAGAAGATTGGAAGAAATACATTATGATTCCAATGTTAAAACCGCAAAAAGATTCAAATCTAGCAGAATCATACAGAGGTATATCACTGGCATCATGTGTACTTAAAACATTCGAGCGAATGCTCAAAACAAGAATGGAATATTGGCTAGAATCCAATCTCAAACTACCAAAATATCAGTTTGGGTTTAGAAAAGCTCATTCCACAATAGAAAATGTTACTCATCTAGTCACTGACATTAATATCTCATTCTCATTAAATCGTTCTACCATAGCGTTGTTTATGGATATTCAGGGAGCCTACGATAAAGTAAATCTAGGAATTCTACATCAACAAATGGTGCGAATTGGTTTTAGTTGTGAATTTTCTAGAAAAATAATAAAGTTATATCGTAATCGCATAATTAACCTTAAAATCAATGAGAAAATTTTAGATACAAGAACAACAAGTCTGGGATTACCTCAGGGTAGCGTTTTAAGTCCTATATTGTATACAATCTATACCTTTGACCTAGAAAAGCTAATAGACGAATTCAGGGATATTAAGATACTGGAATATGCTGACGATATATGCATTTACATTGATAATTGTGATTTTGAATCTGGTTACAGTTCTTTAAATCAATTTTTTCTTCGATTTAACCCATGGTGTCACGAGAAAAGTTTAAACATTTCACTCACGAAATCAAAAGCATGTATATTCACCCGGAAACGAACTATTCCCAATCAGCTTGTTTTACAAGACCATAGTTTTCCTGTCATCTCCCACGTAACATACCTAGGAGTAACAATTGATAGAAAATTAATCTGGAAAGAGCACATAGAAAGAATATTAAAAAAAACCGAGAAAGGATTAAATATATTAAGAGCTGTAAGTTCTTACAGTTGGGGAGCCGATTCAGAAATGTCCCTGTTATTATACAGGTCATTTATTAGATCAATTCTGGATTACGGATGCTTTCTATACTCTCAAGCAGCCTCCAGTAATCTAAAAAAGTTAGATAATTTAGTGAATAAATGTCTAAGATTATCCCTTGGAGCCTTTAAAAGTACACCAATTTCAAATCTTCAAGTAGAATGTTGTGAAATGCCTTTAGAGCTAAGAAGAAAATATCTCTGTAATAAATTTTTGTGCAAAATTTCATCTAAAAATAGTAGTCTAGTTAATAAAGTTCACAACCTTTTTATAATGGATTTAACTAATAAGTACTGGCAGAAAAAAGAATCACTGGTTTTATGTAAATCATATCAAGGCTGCTTACAATATAAAGACAATATGTATAAAAACGAACTGCTACCGATATACCAAACAAACTTAACTGATGTGCCTGAAATAGACATACGTTTTCTAAGAGATTATTCTAATTACCCCATGTCGTTGAGAAATGTGATGTTTAATTCAGACATAGAAAATGATTTTAAAAATTATCATATCATATTTACAGATGCATCAAAAAAAGACGATAAAACGTCCTGTGCATTTTGGGACCCTACACGAGACTATTTCGAGGCAAAAAAACTTCCGAGTGAATTTTCAAGTTATTAAGCTGAACAACTCGCTATATTAGAAGCATTAAAATATATTAAAAATAAATTATTTAATAAAAAATTTTTTTTAATAATATCAGATTGTAAAAGTGTTTTACATAAACTTTCAAACATATCTACTAATATTAATATTAATTATATCTTACAAAATATATTAATTAATTTTAAAAACTTGTATGAGGAAGGAAAAATAGTTAAGTTTGTTTGGGTTAAAGCTCATTGTGGGATCATCCACAATGAAAAAGTAGACATACTGGCCAAGGAAGCATTAGATTCCGATACTGTTGTAAATTATTCATTAGTTCCTGAAGACCTTTATATTATTTCAAAAAATATAATTAGGCAGGAATGGATGAATAAATATGATCATTCCACCAAGGGACTTTTTTATAAAGGCATTCAGCCGAAAATTCCTACCAAACCATGGTTCTGTAATTTTATAACAAAA